AATCACAGACCCGGACTCGAATTATTGGTCGGTTCCGGGCGGATCCGGGTATTACGGTTCTGGTTTGCGGAACACTACCCTCTAAAAAAAGGTTTGGCTCACAATAACTCTGAAAACATGTGATAGGTTTATTTGAAATCTAACTCGTTCTCATGACATTTGCGGTCACTTTAACGTTAAAGGATTCGAGCATAAATGTCGAGCTATCGACTTGTGAAAACCAAATTTATAGATACTACCGCTGTATTACAATATTTTAAAGATTATCGTTATAACAAAATATAGTAGAAATTCATTATTCTTGAATTTCAAGATTTATCTTATATTATGTTGGCAAATCCTAAATATTATGATGCTATGTTGTCAATTAACATTATTAAGTATAAGCAAGAGATATCAAAAATCATTGTCCTTTTTTTTAGTTAGTTGTGGATACATTATGTGAATACTTTAGCGAACATGATAATTTTTAGACATACCAGTCAGTTTTTAATGAATTACAAAATTTTGTTGACATCCACCAATCAACTTAAATTACAAATTGTGCCACTATGGGGATACCCATATATTCTACAAATCCATAACATTTATTTAAACTATTATAACATGACAACACCAACTTTTCCACTATCCATATCTTTACAACGCCAATTGTACATGTAATAATTTAAATATCCATCGCCGGGTCCGAATTTGAGATCCTCGATGAACAACTTGTTTTCCATAAGATCAAGGCAATTAAAAACATCAACGTTTTTCTACAAAACATAGTAATAATCGTTTTTTAATAAAGAGTCAAGAATTATCACATGTACATTGATTTGACCTACCAATTTTGCCAATATCAGCGCATCCTTAATCAACGCTTGCAATCTACCTTTTATCGCTTTGTCGTCAGATTCTTGGACTGCATAATAGAATAGATAAACAGCATTTATGGTTTTATGCGTAGGATGTCCGATTACCGATGAAGGTAAGTAATAGAAAGAAAAGAAATCAGTCACTTTCTTCGTGAGAGGGTTCTAAATATATGAATTATTAGAAAAATAAATTAGGTCTTAGATAACATGAATCAACCAACAACGACTTTTTTTTTTTATACCTCAACAACATAAGACCAAACGACATTTTCTTTTGTTAGAATCCAATGTTTAACGTCTTCATCAGTCTTAAATACTGCGACAAAATTGAATTTATTCATATATTCATTCAATAAAATTCTAACCGATGTGACGTCTTTCTCTTGCATCGGTCTGATCCCAGGTGTCAAAGTTTCAGACGGTAATTTGAATTTTTTAATTAAACGCGACATCGTGGTGTTTTGAGGCAAACGTGAAAAGTTTGTTTCAATCAATTTTTTAGGATTGAGAGAGCGATGAAAATATCTTTATATAGTGATATTAATAATATTAGTATCAGGCTGTCAGTAAACAAATTAGATTACTATATCTATGCATACCGAGCTTTAGAAATAGGCTTTGGTAGAACAACACCTGCAGTATAAACTGCTTGAAATATTCCTTCAAGATGGGAGCGTCGCGTAATTTCTTTGATCAGCACAGGTGCCAATCGTTTACTCCGAAGTTTTTTATGAACACATAGAAAGTTTATTTCAACAAGGTGTTGTTGTCTTTTATATATAAATAATCGTATATTATTATAAAAAACATTATTGTTAATTATGCTTAAATCAAACTTACGACTCATAAATTCTAATGTCGGCAGGGATTCCACTAATGAAAGCAACAAGGCGTTTTGTGGCGCTAACACGAACGCCTACGTGCCACGTTTGTTTATATCCTGGTGGTTGCAAAGCCCTGAACGTAAAAATAATGAGTAAATGATATGTATAATATACGACATAAATAATAATGCGTTTAGAACATACCATTTCAGAAATTCACCAGAATAATCGAAACGGAACATTGCATCATCATCTTCGACATAGTTATTTGTTAACAGAGTGTACAGTTCGTTTAGCTAATGAAAATCCGGAATGCATGAAGCTAAAACACGAATGATAAAATATGCAAAATATAATTAAATACCAATATACCTCATTTTCATTATTCAAATCTAAAATTGACCATTCAAATTCTTTTGGTAAAAGATATGGATCTTTACGAATTTGATCATATGGAGTGTTCTCTTCTATTGGGCCATTATCATTAATTATTTCTCCTAAAATTATTACATCGTAGTAAGAATATACCTTAGAAATATAAAAGCATTTGAATCATTGAATGGAAATTACCATGTTTTGGAACCGGCTGGGTACTCCAAAACTTATGAGAACTCATATCCTTTTGTCTTTGTGAGCTATTGGCACTTGGCTGAGGCTGTATAGCCTCACGAATGGCTAGTTGATTTACAAGCATTCTGACCTTTTCTTGTAATTCTGCTTGTTTTGCCGCTGCACTAGCGGGAGTATCTTCGACAGCTGAAGTTGAATTCACACCATTTTTAGCTGCCTTTTTTCGCGCCTTTTTCATGTTTTTTTTTTCCTGTTTAACCCGTAATTTTTCAGTGGAACTATTTTCACCCTCTCCGTCATGACTATGTTCGCCATCCATTTTTCTTCAAAGAAAAAGGATAAGGGATGACGAAAGCAATAGTTTGATATATATATTATTATATATATCTATTAATGACATCGATGTGCAATGATTATCATATGATACGTCAAGAGAATTTTAAAAGTAATGTCTTCAATAAATCTTCAAGAACGTCAAGAATTAATTCAAACATATGAAAATCAATTAAAAGAATATTATAAAAAATTTGAAAAACTATTAAGCGAACTTTCATGGGATATAGAATCCTTAAGAATTCGTGAACAGGTTTTTTTATCAAAGAAATTCTTATTTCGAACTTAAAATATTTTTATAAATTCTCGAATAAAATATTATATCTATAAATAGGAATCCAAGTCATCAATAACGTGTCCTTTTAATTCTGCTCATAAAGTTCCTACAAAATCTTACGAGAAGCATTATAAAAAGTGTGAATTAAAGTATCATGGAATTACTGATTGTGGAAAGGTAATGAATAATTTTCGCATTAAAACTTCTTGAATTTCGGGATCTCAATATTGTAGGTACTAATAATTATTGCCATTTATCATGTAAAAGCGAAAACGTCTACCAAGTTCGACTTTTTTTTACGAAAACGCACCTTCTGTAATAACTTTGATTAAAGGTTTATTGGTTTTTTTTTTTTTTTTTTTTTTCATGAAATCACGCGTATTTGACAATCTAAAGTACTAAAATCTAAAGATGATGTAAAGAAATCGCTAGAAAACGTCAAGGATGGGTCTATAAATATTGGAGTGGGTCAAAGTTTAACTGTTAGTCAAAGACTTGAAGCATATGAAAGGGAAGTTGCGATGTCTAATCAAATCCGAGAAGAAAATCAAAGACGAAGGCGCGACGAATATCAAAATTTTGACGAAGTTTGGAAAGCCGTTCAGAAAAAAAAAGGTATGCATGCCCCATTTTTAATATTAAAAATCAATAAATAGATAATTCATAATTGCCGTATGATTTTATGTGTATAGGAGAAAATCAAGGGCAAAAGTCACGTACTGAACTCCTTGCTGAACAACGTGATTACAAACGTCGAAGGAAATCTTACCGAGCAAAAAATATCAAGATCACCCAACGTACTCCAACACAGGTAAATTAAATTAGATTAAATAGGCTATCAAGCATTTTAATAATAAAAAAAATTATATTTTAACTTATAGGTGCACAGAGATCTCATAGCGGCATATATGGAAGACTTCAAACTGTTAAGGGAATTTGAAAAAGAAATGGAGTCACAGACTCAACAATTTTAATTATATATTAATATCAGAAAGCTGGAAATTAATGAATGAATGAATACAAACTAATGTAAATGTGACTAATAATACATATGAAATATTTTCAATGATTAATATTTAAATAATGAATATAAATTAAATCATGAACTAAGGGTAGCTTGATAGACCATCCCAGTTTTTTTATTCTTTGCTAAAGCTTTCACATCCGTTGTGCCAAAAACTAACGAAAATTCCACGAGTCGTTTCTTTCCAGATTGTGTGTCTGAAAGATCAACTTTAAGAGTTCCGTAATGTTTCATCCCAGGTTCATCACAAAATCTCGGATTTATTTCCGGAGAGACAAAAATTTTAAATGTCATATCCCTTTGATTTGGGTCAGACGGTCTTGCAACGTATCCAACCGTTTGACCGATCTTGACTACAGTATTGACTTTTATCAGTGGATAAAAAACATCCATATAGCCGTTTGAAGTTTTACGTTGAATTGGATCTCCCTTCTTCCATTTCATTACGACTTGAACACCATATGTATACCTTAGCGCTCTTGTACCTGGTATGAATGGATCAGTAATAGGGTTTCCTTCTTCTGATATGTTAAAATTCTGCATCTTATTCTCCAATCCATGCATTAGACCATCATTTGGCATACCCGTACCCTGCACACCTTTCACAAGGTTATACTGTACTGGTGACATGTTCGGATTCTGTACTGGTGACATGTTCGGATTCTGTACTGGTGACATGTTTGGATTCTGTAGTGACATGTTTGGATTCTGTACTGGTGACATGTTTGGATTCTGTATTGGTGACATGTTTGGATTCTGTACTGGTGACATATTTTGATTCTGGTATTGTACAGGCCCACGAGGCACACCTAGTATATTATTTTGCATATTTAACCCGTACCGTGCAGATCCGTGTGATGCATTTGATATATTCCTATTCTTTTCTAACTCATATTGCACAGCTCCCCGCACTGTAGCAGTGATTGGTTGCTTAGGACTTTCAATCATTAAAAAATTTTTAAAGGCTAATTTCATCTGGTCCTGTATATATTGGTTTTCGCTGCCTCCTCCAACAAGAAACATGGCTTCGCATTTATTTTTTGATGTTGACAAATGATTTCCTATGTGAGATATAATTTTTTGGACAACTGGATCAAACATCGCTTTAACATCGTCATAACCCAATTCAATCATCCATTCAGCATCTATCATTCGCTCTCTGATATCTCCAGTTACATACTTCACAATCGCTGGGCAAGAATCTTCCAAATCTATACTTACAGGCTTGAAAGTCGCTGGATCCCTGGTAAAAGGCAATTTTGCTTTTTTACAGAATTCCTGAGCAAGATATTGTAATTGATCGTAATTATGAATTTGTAGTTGCTGTAATGCATTATATAATTCAAAATTTTCACAAAGATATCGAATGAATTCCTTATCAATGTAAGTACTACCACACAAGCTACTACAATATTCAACTAGTTCGCATGTTTTTCCATCGCCGGAAAGTTTATATATTGCAGTTAATACTGTACCACCCCCAATGTCTACGAGCATAAAGTTGGCTAGCGGTATTAAAATTTAGAAGTCAAATTAGTATACAATTCTAAATGAGTGCTGCCAAGGGAAACATGCAATTCGGACATTTAATTATATTTTGTACCGGACACAACCCCTAATAAATTAAATAGATTGCGTTCGGTACCAAATACAGTTGGAATTCTGAACTGCCCTTTTCCTTTGGCAGCACTCGAATGAAAAATAGAGGTCGGATTCTTTGAATATCCATCATAGCTATTCAGTAAATATTCATGAGTTTCGGATATTCATGAATAGCATTGAATGAATATCCAGATTTTGGAAGGATACCCATGCTATTATTTATAACCGCGAATATTCGCGCGAATATTCACGGGTCAATTATAATGATTAATAATCGATTTTTCGTAACCAAATATTGGATATTAAATGAATATCCATTTCTAACCGTGAATATTCATGGATCCGACCTCTAATGAAAAAAAAGACAATAAATAAGTATACATACTATGTGGATTTAATCTCGGTTGCCTTAGACTATTTCTACAATAAATTGCAGCAGCCGTAGCTGACATGTTTAAAATACGAAAATTTATATTAAAATATATAAAAAACAAAATAATATTGTGCTGAAAGTCTATAATCGACAATCATGTAAATTGTTCTAAATCCTCGTACAATTAATGCTAGACAATACATCGTATTATCCGGCAAACTCTTATGATCATGAATTGCCATCTGTCTTGTTATTTTTTTTCATTTGTTACGATGTAATCATGTTTATTCAAATTAAAACTCAATCAATGACTCCCTACCAATCATGATCATAAATTGCCGGATAACACCAATATTGGGCAATTTGTCGAATACGATAATTTGGCTCAACCGCAAATGATTGGCACACGTGCCGCTTCGCGGCACGTGTTCACCGTTATTCGACAAATTTTGCCCAATATTGTATACATCATGATGAAAAATAGGAAATGTCGAACCACGTGATCTGCTTCAGTATAAAGAAACCAAACCACTGATGACTTTATGGTGCGTATCTCAAATTACAAAGATAGTTTACTTTTTCGGTACTTAATGTAGAATAGCATTTTAGAAATGTCTTATTTATAGATCATATGATTGTCGATTATAGATTTCTAATATATGTTAAAATGTGAATCCTCATACGTTCTAATATAAATTCTAGACTTGCTGAAGTTGCTGATTCCACAAGTTGAGCTTGCGAAACACAAAAACGAACAATATCTTTTGCACCTTCTGAAAAATTTAATGGGACTGTGTTCGATAATATGATAAATAAGTAAAATGAATAAATTACATTAATTTTTTTCAGAGAAATTCTAACAATACCTGTAATAATAATTTTAACATCTCGGTAAAAGTTAACTCCTGCAATAGAGAAATAAAAATAATAAATATACTAATAGTAACAAATATATGTTGTACCAAAAATTGTTCAGAAGCAGACTGTCCTGAATTAGAATTGTGTAAATTATTTAAATTCTAGGTTATAAAAAAAAAATTAATTTCGGTCTGCGTAATTTAGGTCGAAATTACCAAATTCTAATTTGAATAAATATTAATTTTGGGTACAACATGTATATATGCATAAATATCTACCTGGCCATCTTGTTGAAATGGTGTGTTTAATCAACTAAATAAGTAAAATGATTTATTATAGGTGCTTAAATTATGATATCAAAATTAAATGATTGCGTAATAATATACCTTTGCCATTTCTACCTCAATCAAGTGGAAAAGATATGATTAACACATGAATAGCACTTTACAATTTTAACGCTACACCTATATTTAGAGAAAATACCTGAGAAATAGTCAGTCACACATTTTCTGTAATCTAGTCTTGGAGGTAGCGGGGGTTTATCTTCTTCTAACACATTTGCTAGGTGAAGTTTAAACAGACTTGCGAGTACTATTGATCTATTTTCATTAAGCATGCTACTCGCTCTAGAAATATGTGCAGTGTCGGGAGTCCATGTATTGCTTGTACGCATATTTCCCATGACACTGGCGCTTCTAATGGGGTTATTCTTTCTCTTTTTTTCAGGTTTGGGAACGATACCCCAAGTAATTACATTCAATGAATCGTCATATCGCAACACTGTATCAGTTTTAAAAACGCCTCGTTGTTCAGGCCATGAATCATTTGTTACTATTTCCGCGTTAACATCGCAGTTATTACAATAAGCAAATGTACTTGAGAAGGTACCGAAATCTACAAAAAAAAGATTATAAGTTGTTAACCCAAAGGTATACCATGTAAAAGATCTATCGCTTACCTATTCCGACTGTGACTACGTATGGCGATGAAGTCATGGGTCGCAAGTTTATGAAAGAAATACAAAACTAACTACAAAAAAATTTTGCTCGCCTAATAATGTGTACCTAATGAAAAAATATCGATATCGTTATAAAATCCGGTGGTACAAATTAATTTTATACCAATTGTTACCATGTGACCATTAAGCACAGGATATCTCGATAATCTTACAATACAGTAATACTGTAATACTGTAATACATAATAACGATAAACCATTGAGTACATGAGTACATCTGTTTACCCAACAGCTTGCGTAACGGTAATGTTCTGTGACGATCTCGGTAAGTCGATTCTAAAAATAATATGAAAAGGTGAAACCCGCGACAAAGGTAGTGTTTGTAGTCGATCTTCATTTATCGACTTGACTAAGTCATAAAGGGGACCCTCGATAATATCAACCTAGACAATTATGTTGATATATAGGGGCTTTGCAGTAGAAAAGGCCTAAATGCTATATATAATATATAGAGCATTTAGGCCTTTTCTACTGCAAAGACCCTATATATGTTGATAACAAAGAAGTAAACCTTTTATAGGTTGAACTTAGTTTTTTACAAGTTTGATATTAACTTAGCCGACTATGTTCGAGCCAATGATTTTGATTGGTTAAGTTTCTGATTGTACATCAGCTACCGTATCGTCGCGAAATTTTAAAACGAGTTAATAATTAATTTTGCCGAAGATTTTTTTTAAACTTTACTATTAAATAAATATTAAGGTTTAAAAAAAATCATCGCAAAATTAACTGTTAACTTGTTTTAAAATTTGTCTCGAAATAACGCCCCAGGGCATTATTTCGTGACAATATGGTATATTTTATACTGTATATTTTATCCCTTAAACTGTCCACTTAAGCGGGCAAATTTGTCCACTTAAATAATTTGACAAAAATTAAGCATAAAAAAATTTTTTTTATAAAAATTTCAATTCTAATTGGTTATGGTGATTTCTAAAAGCTTGAGTCACATATTACATTCAACAGTCACAGTATGACATACTTGAAATAATCCAAACAAAGGGCATAAATTCATATGAAGGGTGTAAAATATGTTATTTTAACCAAGTTTTTGAGTCATTTTATCTTTCTTGCATTATTTCAAAAAATCAATTCTGTAAAGTTGGTCATGAAGAATTTTTGACCAACTTCAATATTATATGTGACGGCTGATGCTGAATTTTGGCTGATGCTG